GTAAGCTACCGTACCGCGGTCTGACGCTCGATTGACGTACACTGCCGCCGTGGTACCCAAGATGCACCCCGTCTCCAGCGAGCGATTGGCCTACGGTCTCAGCTCCAGAGGCGAGAGTTCCTTTCCTGAGAGACACATTTGGTCGGAACCAGAAGAAGTTGGAAACGCGCCCAACAACAACGACGTCCCGTATTCGCAACCAGGCTTTCCCAAACTCGACGTCTTCGGACCGGGGATATCATCCTTCTGGCAGCAAAACTGGCTCACACACGGTCAGCCGACCGCGCACCGCGATCCCGTAAGTGCCGACAAGACGGCGACAAATCAAACAGTGCTTCTAACACCATCTAGCACCACGTTGACAGGATCACTTCGCCCCAGGGGCACGTCGGCCATGACTTCTTTGCATCCTCCCCCGTCGCAGGGGACAACGCATCCGCCCAGGCCGAATGGGAGCTTCTCCGGATGACTTCGACGCTGCCAGCGCACAACTACCCCTGGCCTCACGGCCCGCCGCACGGCGAGTCTGCCATCAAGATCGAGGATGACTCGGACTCAAATTGGAGTCTCGACGGCAGCTCCGAGGACCTCCAACCGCCCCAGCTTATCCGACCTCAGATTCAAGGCCTCAGGAGGCGCGGCATCTCCCGGGTCGCAAAGGTGTCCAGGTCGGCGACAGCACCATCATATCCCAGCTTCCGAATGAACAAGCGTACCCCTCAAACGTCAGACCGCCAAGAGCCCATCGAACCAACCCCGCACACCAGCACCAGCACCAGCTACGACACTGTGGGAGACGGCGCGGCCGACCCGAGCACCTCCCCCGGCGACTTTGCGAGCAAGGTGATGGAGAAGCGCATTGCACACAAGCTGTCGGAGAAGAGCAGGCGGAACCGCCTGACCGCGGCGATACGGGAGATCCAGAAGCTCATGCCTCTTGAGGAGAGCGAGGAGCGGGCATTACAGAAAGGAGATCCGGCGCCGCCGGCGGTGTATCCCCACTTCAGCAAGGTCGACGTGGTGGAGATGGCAATCGGCTACATCAAGAGGCTACAGCAGGAGAACGTTGACTTGAAGGAGAAGGTCAGGGCCAGTGCAGAGGAGGAAGATTCAAGGGCGCGCCAACAGAGCGCAAGTGAAGAGCCACAGGAGGTCGAGTCTTAGGGATTTGCGCTTCATGTTCACGGTCATCTGGAGTCACTTTTTGTTTTGGGGCGTTGAAAGGCTGTCTTATCTGCTGGGTGGGCTGTAGATTGAACTTGGCATGTCTCCCTCGAGACTGACGATGGTTGAGCGAATGGACGGACGGACACTTGACCGGAATGATACCAATGGGCGCCGTGTACCTACTAGGGAGCAACGTCCTTGACTACCACGTAATGCTTTTGCGACTTTCATCTCGCACCAACACGCACGTGTCGGACCCCTAGTGTCTGTCTTGTCATCGTTGTCATGAAATCTCTCTTCGGGGACCCCTTTCACTCCCCGCAGAACTTGCGCCGCTGCCCTGTGCTACCTGCCCTGTGCACGACGGATGACAAGGCAGCGAGGCCATTCACCTTCCTCATGCGGCTGTCTCTTCAACCAGCGCCTGTGTCACGGTCTCACCGCAGTTTTTGGGGCTTTGGGATACTGTAATGCCAAGCTCACCGGCCACCCCATCCGGTTGCTCGCGGCTGTCTCGAGCAGGGGGGTGGGGGATGTAGGTGGTGCGAGCCGAACCAGACAAGAGTTCTTGTGAGTTCTGCGTGGGGGTTTTCGTCACTTCTGCCAAGGGTTCTTGTTCCTTTCGTGGGAGTGGTACAGCGCTTTCTTGGGGGGTTATGCAGTGGTCTCCAGTGGCGATACTTGTATTACACATGCATTCACACATGCACCTGGTCACTCGGGATAAGCCACAGCATAAAATAGCCACGAGTGGGCGCCATGTAACGGACGGTGCTTGGCTGTTTTCGGCTCTTCCGCTCACCTTGTTCACCACCTCCGGTCCGGTCAACCTTCGGTGAGCCCTCTCTTCGGTGACCTTCGGTGTGACAGTGGCGATGCGACTTGCATGCATTTTTTTTTTTTTTTTCGCGGCAGCGGCTCGCCGATGTCCGGGGGTCGACGGGTCGGGGGTCGGGTAGGGTCTTGGGAAGCCAAGATGAAGGCGTCATTCAAAAACTCTTGGCTGGTCGACCGAGGGCTTGGACTGGGGCGAGATTGGGACGGGGGATCGTGTGGGTTCGGAGAAAAAAGGTTATTTGCACGACGTGGTTGGGGGTGGTCGTGATGTTTCCCGCTACAGGTCTTGGTGTTTTGTCGCGAGACCTTGATCACAGGATAAGCAGTGGTGTCTTGGACAACACCACACATTTGAGGAATCATTGGGGTTGTCTAGATTTCCTGCGGTCGTATGAGGATGATGAGACCGCTGTCGGAACTTTCGAAATGTGTGTCGACGCCACGGGTTGGATGGATGTTGTGGGTTTGAGAGAGTGTTTTTGTGGCTGTGAAGACGTCGAATAGACTCCATCAGTCAGATTTAGGTTAGAGTTGTGCTGAGTCCCATCGACGGCGCTGGAGACTGGCGGTGGGTGGACCTTCCCTGTTCAAAGTTTGGACATGCTGCGCGTCCGTGGAGGGGCGTCGGGAATGTGGTAGCGCGGCATGTTTTTCCACAACACGAATCTTTCCGGGTGACACTTGAGCGCTATGGTGCATCGAGAAGCCCTGAGCTTCTGTCGGGTGAAATTTGAAGCTTCTCGCCAGGATGGCGTTTTAGAGTTTGCAGTTTGCGCACAAACTCGGCAGCTGCGTATATCAGTCCTGCTCGCATTCTTACCTTTCAACTTTCATCACCCATTCTTCAGTCCATCCAACTGAAAGTGCGACTTCAACACCACACCTACCTATCAAACATATACCTATCAACGAAATCGCTGACAAGAGGGTCACTATCAATCCAGTAAAATGAGATACCGCGACGGCATCAACGCGTTTCGAACCAGGCACTGGAGTGCGCTGTGGAAAAGCAACCTTCCCAGTCTCGCCGCAGTTGACGCGCTCTTGGCCACTTCAGCATTTGTCGCAATCGATATAGAGCCCTGGGGTAAAGCAGATCGCCGGAGCTCTGATGCCGCCGAGATTGGTGTCTCCTGCTTTCACATTCCCCCGGTGTCCGTTTGGTGCACAACGTCAATCAAGCGCCTACAACCCTCGCAAAGGTCGTCGAAAGACTGCAAATTCGAAGCTACTGCATACGTGTCGCGGGAAGAGATCGACGAATGAACAATCGAGAGCCCTTCTGGTACGGCCCAGAGGTCGAAGTCTTGGAAGCTGGCCAAGTCGAAGACGCCCTGGTACAATTGCTGGAATCTTTCAAGGAAAGAACGAACAAGAACCTTGTGTTGACGGGGTTTTCCATGACCCATGAGCTGCGGGCGATTGCAAACGATTACACTCGGCTGGCGGAACTTTTCTCTTCGTGGGTTGATGTGCAGGAACTGATGCCCGTGGTTCCGGGGCCGGGGTCCAGAACCCACCAACCAAGCTTGCGCACCTGCCTTGAATTGTTCGGATTCAGCCCCGATCCTGAGGCAGTCAATAGCTTCAATGGTCATAACGCCGGCAATGACACGGTCCGCGCATCGGCCGTTCTTCTTCGCCTGCTTACTCACCCGCAGGGATATCAATTGCAGATCCCGGCCCCAAATCCCGGGAATAGAGAAAGAAAGCCGAAACCGTATTGCAAGGGGTCGGGTGCGAAGTTTAAACGTTTCTGGTACGACAGGAAGCCGAAGCCAAGAGAGGTCTTTCCATTCATCGCGAGGGTCAAGATCCTGGGACCCGTCGGATCCGGCAGAAGCCCCAAGACTTTATTTACCCTCTTCTCTGGATACCACCCCACAGCCACCGGTACCAATGGCCAGCGAGGTAAAAGGTACGGATATGTTTGCCTCCCCGATCTAGACACCCTGGATAGGTTTGTCAAGGAGGTTCATGGAAGCCAGGTCTCCGGCAGTGGAGTTTGGGACGTCGTCAAGGACTATGACCCGTCAGTGCGACCTTGCACCGCGGAGGAATTCAGCGAATGGCAAAAAAAGGATCAACTCTCAAGGCTCGAGAACAAACGAGAAGAGAGGCGGGCCTGGAGGGCAGAGCAAGCTCTCAGGGAGGAAGAGGATGACAGTGACGAATTGGCTGGCCTAATTACGGGATTGGGCTTCGAAGGAGAGGGCGAGGACTAACTGGAAGCAACCTATAGTTGATAGGATTCAAGATGGCATTTCCAGACATTCCCTCCACAATTCTAGCAATTCTATATGGTACAACATTATTTACGGTGAATTGAGGGTTACATTGAGCGCTGCGCGTCGCGTCACTTGAGTCGGCCCCTCGGAGCGCATCATCTGGGACAATGTGTGTGCTCTTTTATCACCCATTAGCGACGAGCAAAACGCCGGTCCTACCGCGATTGGTTTGGAGAACAGAAGATGGCCCAAAACTTGACCGCGATGACACTAATCGTGACAGCACACCACTTCGGCGTGCGCAGAAGAAATGCACGCTCGCAGTTGCATCCTTCTAGGCTTCGCAGGGTGGGTCACGTGTACCCCCTGATAGATCACAGCAACCGAAGTCCGACATCAACCAACCCACGATGAAACGCGTCCGTCATGTCGCCCATTGTGAAATAGAATGATTGCCAGTTTCAAGACGATATGAATGAACAAGTACTCATTTTGTATACCTAACATCGCACATCCGTCCCCTCCCAAGTATTGTACTCTGCTCGCCTTCCCTCTTTGTGCCCGTGTTACCACCGCCCCTGTTCAGCATCCCAATATTTACCCAGAACGGGACCTAACACAGTACCATCATCGAAGGGCGAGGGGCAAAACTATTGGCAGTGCCGGGATTCGAACCCGGGCCTTGGAATTCTACTGCGTATGACGCTGTCTTAAGTATGCATTCTTAACCGACTGGCTGGCACCAGGAGTACCGACCAGTGGGCTAAGTGACAGCGGCAGGATTCGAACCCGCGCCTTGTTTCCAAGACTACATCCCAAATGTAGCGCCTTAGACCACTCGACCACACTGCCTTGTGGTTTGTTGTTGGAAGTAGAGGCAAGGAATTCCCTTCACGAATGACATGGACGGGATGTCCTGAGGAAGGGGCAAGAGACGGGAGAGGAGAGGGAGGGGAAGGGCGAAGATGGGGGAAGGGACGGGGCGGGAGGTGGTGATAGCGGGAAGGCAACATCGACTGGCGGATCCACCTTGGCGGGGGTGGTCAGGGGACTCAAACGAGAGAAATGACCAGACTGCTGAAATCTTGTTCGAAAGCTCCTGCCCAGGGGGGGAGTTCCCTGTTGAGTTGAGCTCGCGTGTGAAATGTGTCGGAGAGAGCTGGTTGGGTGCGTGCCGCCGGGCGCGGGATGGAGTAAGACTGGTTGTGGATTTGTTGAGGGTGGTAACTCAAAGCTACTGTTTGGTCGAAAAATCTCGATGGGGCGGAAACCATCCTTGGTACATATGCGTGCCGATCGTTGATGGTCGCTGAAATACCGCCGCGCCGTCCTGAGCCCCGCTTCCAGAATTTTATGGGACCCAAGAACAGTTCAACTCGCAGCTTGCTGCACTGGAATGTTTGGGAGAACGGACTTTCTTTCTTCTGTTGATGGAAGAGCGGTAGAGAAAACCTTCTGGTTCTACCTGGTGGTAAAGATATGTACTCCCCAGCTTTGAGCCGTTTCAAACACAATGGGGGTCGCAATGAAGAGCCCCAGAGCGGCTGCTGTGAGAAAACCGACAATGCGAAGAGTGACTTCAAAGTTTCTCCCCAGTTTCTCCACAGCCGGATCTCCCGCAGCATTCAAGAGCAAAGTTCCAAGATAGATACTCAACACTAAGAACGCTAAGATCAAGGAGAAAACGAAGAGTACATGGGCCCGTAAGATTGGCCGCGTCCGCTGGTATGCCATGAATGTGATAAGACCTGTAATCAAGATCCCGAAAACCGGCAGGGCCACGGCGTATATGCATCGCCAGCTTTCGCAATCTGTTAGCGGCATCTGGCATCCCTCCATATGTACACTCACCTCGGACACGATTGTGTTCCATGGGGAAGTTGAATCGTGATCCCAAAGTACATCCAGCCGGCAACTATGTCCACCAACGTTGCTACCATGACGAGAGTCCGTGTTGTATGGTTTCGCTCGATAGAAGAGAGGGCAATCCACGACTTGAGCGAGGGATAAAAGTCCATTTGGTGTGGGGCTTGAGTGTAAGCGGTATCTGGGCCACCGACCGTCACGGTCTGATGGCTTGCTTGTTCCTCCTGTCGCGGAGGTATTGCCGTAGAATTATGGAAAGTAGCAATCGTGCCGTTCGAAGCGGTGCTCTCCTGCTGCTTCAAGAATCGGCTTGCCAGCAACCCGGTGGGTGTTTCGAGACTTGAGGCAGTGACTATTGAATCTTTCCGCCCAACCGGTTCGTAATCATCGGGAAGCCCAAGCGACGGGTGAAATAAGAGGATACCAAGCGCAGAGAGTTGGCAGACGGACATGAAAAGAACCATGGCAGGAGCCACCGTCCCGACAGGGGTCTGGAAGCCATTTGTCGGCTCCGGCCAGAGCTCTGGGACACGGAACGTTAGGACCAGTACCAATATTCCTGTTGTAATGAACAGTAGGGGCAACGTCAACAGGCCGTGAATACCGAGATGGTGGCGTTGCCACGGCTGGCAGAGTTTGACGTGTGTGTTTCGAAGAACCGAGGATGTGCCAACGTCAACAACCGGAAACAGCCCGTTCATCAGCATGACGAAAACCAATAGGTTCTGCAACGGCGTATTCGGAGTTTGCCGGCGGTCGAAAAAAATGCCAAAGTCGCTCCAGTTGAAGAGCAAAATCACAAGGTAAATCGGAAAGCGCGCCCAACCGCTGTAGCGCCGGGCTCGTTGCACCTCTTCCGACCGCCAAAGGCCGGGATAAGCGAACACGACGCACCATCTTGCCGCATTCCGCTTCATCCAGGACTTGGTGGAGGGTTTGTGGTCTGCTGCCATTCTAGAAAGCGACGATGGCTCATGGTGTTGGTGTTTCACCACCCTAAAATCGACGACCGCCCGATGCTCATAGTCACGTGACTCTTCGTCACGTTTGATCAGTCCAGATCAGCCCCGGCTCAGCTTCGGCTAATATCTGCCCATTGAACAGCACAGCCTTCCGAGAAGGTGCAGTTTTAGCCGAAGGGCCCAAAAATGGTCCCGTGCGAGCAAAGGGCCCAGAATTGGGACATTCGCACCCGCAATAGCCACCACCCAGAACTTCATAGACAATTCGTCCAGCCTTCCGCTTGGGAATGCTTATATCTATTACTAGTCGTTGATACTGGGGATATTCAGGAGATGCCTTTGCTAGTGGGCGTCGTTAGGAGATTAAGGGTATTTCGTACATTGAGACCCTTTAAAGCTCGTCAAATAACTGTATTTAGAAGACATTCTAGTACCAGGGTAGCCTAAAGGATTTCTAGGAGCACCCTCGCATTCCTTTTCCACATTTCCTTGCTGCTATTTGGGTTGGTAGGGGTTACGTAATTTTTGCTGCCACCCAGGCAGGCCCTTATAACATTCTCCCCTACCTCCTCCCCATCTTCAAACACACCTCTCATCTCTTCCAATCTCATATACAATATCAACAAGCCCGAATTCTCACAATATGAACCCCAAGCCCAAGAAAAGCGGTCTAAAGGGTGAAGACCCGGACGACCTGATCGAGAGAGCTATACAAGATGGCCTCTCTGAGGATAAATCTGGCATCGATGATAAGCCTGTCCACAAAGAGCTCGCTCCAAGCTCTAAGCCGCGGTACGCAAAGATGATGAGCGTATGGGCTGCGTTAGTTCTGCCATTACAGATTCACATTTGGGAACCTGGACTAATGACTCATAGGTACGAGAGAAGATTCCCTGGCTCCGACCCACGCAACATAGAGACAATGAAACATTTTGCGGAGAGTGTCGCACGCTCGACTACGGCGAGGCTAGATAAAACACTGAACAGACCTACCGTTAAAACAATACGGAACAAGGTTCGAAAATTCATGTCGGTGTGGGGACGTGAGACCAATCTACCTATCCCCAAAGAAGTCCACGACTCAATGTGCCCTGTAAGTATGCTAGTGATCGTTGGATATCCTTATAGTTTTGACTAATACGAGATAGTACATCCAAAATGTACTGAGGTTTAAAATTCCTCTCTCGATTATGGAAAAAGAACCCACGTTCTTGACCATCGAGAATTATGTACATATGCAGCAGAAGCATTGGAAGAATGACCACCATAACTACGTCCATGAAGGAGTCCGGGTGTTCCTCTCTTGCCTGTTGAATATGCACTGCTACACCAGCGCAAGGCTGCAGGAAATCTGCATGTCGAAGTGCCAGGTAATATGAGGAACAGGACGATTATAGGTCACTTTCGGGGCTAAATTCTCGAATAGGACTTGCTTTGCATGGTTGGGTGGAAAGACGGAGAGCCAGACATCAAGTTGGGTTTTAAGAGGGATCTTGCTAAAGGCATGCAAGATACCCCGAAGAAGTAAGTTAAGAACATCCTGCGGTCTAACGGTCTAGAAATCTAATGGAATACACTCAGGCCAAAGCACCCTCTTTATGAGCGTTTATCTCCTGCACCTCCCCTTTTTGCCAATAGCATCTTGTTTTTACTGGCCTTAATTGGGTCTCCTTCACTTCATTCTCGTGACCTTTGGCTTTCTGATATCCAAACTTTGACACAAGCTTATCGAGCATTCCTTTTTCCATCAGTAACTCGAATAAGGCGCCTACCTCAGTCTCATCGATAAGGTGTTCGGTGCTCGGCATTAGGTATGGCGCTGGGACGTTAGTTGTACCAGGAAACATTTGCTGGAACATCCGAATCCATTGTTCACTCGGTTCTTTCTCCTGTCGTCGTTGGCGGCTGTTGATGATACTAGTCTGTTGGCCGGGCGTGAGATGGAGTTGGTTTCGACACGCGGCAGATCGGCCAGAACGGGAACAGACACATTTGTGATGATTCTTCAAATGTTCCCTACGGCAGTTTCAGGTTAGCCCCTGTGATAGGTCGTCTTGAGCAAGCATAGAGGGATGCGTACTTGACGTGTCTGAAGTCTGGGAAGCCGTGCGAGCATGTCTTCGATAGGCGCGCATGGGGATATCTTCGGGAGAACGGACATGCTAACCGAGCAGACGTTGCTGGTGTGTGGACTGAAGTAGACCTTGGGACTTTTGGCTTTGAGCGGGTTCGTTTCAGTTCCAAGCGCGCCTCTTTGCCGCCTCTGCCCAAAATCCCTCTGCAGTTTGGTGCGTCGCATAAACAAGCTGGTTGATTTGAGTCATCCATGCTGTTGTTGAAGTTGTGGTCAAACGTTAATTCTTCGCCTTCAGATATAAACTGATTGGCGAAAATACCCATCCTGACACTCTCTCCAACATGCCACCCCTCGACATAGCAGTTAGGTTTGCAAGAGTGGTTTACAAACCTCGAATCGTTACCTTAGTGGCAGCAATGACACACCTTGGGGGACCGTCGCGGTGACTCTCTGAGTTCGGTGTCAAAAAGTAAAGATGGCTTTGCCCTTCAGCCTTATACTTGGCCTTTCGGTGGGAAACATTCGCTAAGGGGATGACCTCGCCCACGTATTCAATAACGAAAGAATCTTTTTGAATGTCCGTTTTGGCGTAAAGTCTACGGCCCTTTTTCCCTGCTTCACGTACAATAGTAGACGCATACGTTTGTCTTCGGAAGCACTGATTTGTGCAGGGAGCTGTGCGGCCACATGTGTTAGGGCATTCGTACCTCATCGCGCGGTTTTGGCAAATCGATTCATCGGCGCACTGGGCTACAATACGTTAAATAACACTTCGAACTCAAGGATGAAGGAGTCACATACCGCCTCTAATGCCCTCGCAATAGCTGCATTCCAAAGGGGGGTCATCTCCATGCTTCAAAAGGTTGGAAGGAGGACAATAAGCTATATATTGAAAGTCGGTAGGTGGTTCATGCGTTTCACCGACCCCCGAGGTCAGACTCTGCACG